CCCAACAACAGCCATGCTACTGCCTCAATAATCAATTGCTTTGACTTATTTATTTATTTATTTATTTATTTATTTATTGCCAGATTTATCAGTCTGCCATGCTTAAACTCAGTCTCAGGCAAAGTCTCTGGACATGAGCAAAATACAAAGTTTCTGCCAAGCCAAAATACAAATCATCCAGAGTCCAACAACCAATGCAGTCCTTCTTCTCAGAAGAAAACTCCCCAGCCTGATCTTTGCAGGCAGGCTTTTTATCAGCCTTCCGGTCTTGTGAGCTCTGATCAGAATCTCCCATACAGAACCACTGAAGCTGTTCCAGCGCTTCTCCTATAGGCAACATCTTGGAACTTTTCCTGTCTCTTCTCATAAGCTATTCCCAAAAGTTTGTAATCCACATGGTCAGGTTTAGCCACAGCAATGACCCTTTTCTGGTACCAAATTTTGTCACATTTTCTCTTCCTCTTGTTGCCATTGTTGCTGCTTCTGCATTTTGCTCTTGCTCTTTGCTGCTGCCATGAATTGCTGCCCTCTGCCATATACCAGTCTGCCTTGGAGCCAGCTGAGTGTGGACTGAATCCTCCAGTAACTGTGAGCTGAATAAACCTTTCCTTCCTTCATTTTGAGTGTTTGGTAATTTTCCCAGCAATGAGAGAAGAGTAACTGAGACAGATATAAATTACGCTGTAAAATTTAGGGATTGTTAACTACTGTGCTCCATTACTAAGTGTGACACTGGCAATTTGGAGTGTGTATCCCGTGAAAGGGAAATTACTTAAGATTTCTAGCCCGAGAAATCATGAACACAGTAAGAACTTAAAAAAGTTGTGTTTTTTTCACAATAACTTTAGTAGTTGCTAAAGATCTTTTACTTGAATAGAAAGCAATGCTAGTTTAATGCTGGACATATGGAACTTTTATCTAAGGGAGTGATTACGTGAAATCTGCAGACTTACACACATTTCCAAGACCCTTTCAGGGAGTTTCAAGGTCCTATAGTATTACTGAGACAACTGACTTGTCACTTAAAATGGGAACAATACTGTATCTTGTTCCAAGCTTTATAATTTATTCTCCTCTTTCCATCCCTTTCTTCCCTGCTCCCTTTGTTTCTCTTTCTGTTGGCTGTTTTTAAAATATATTCATACACATATTTCCTTATCTGTAAAATGAGAGTATAATAGTAGAGATTGCTTTCAAAATTCAGTGTATTAAGATGAGTGAGGTATAAAGCACCTATAACAGTGCTGGCACATAGTAAATGCTCATTGTAAATGTTACTAACATTAACAGTTGTGTTAAGGTCTTGTTCCCACTGCAGTTGCAGGGTAAAATTGGTTTTAACACTACTTTGTATACTTTCTCATTGAATTAAATGTTATGCAGAAGAATGAAGTATGAAAGCCTAGAAAGAGTTATGCTCTTGCCTGGAAAACTGATTTGAATGATGTGAAAAATGAGTTGCTTTAAAACCTAAATTAACTTACAGCGTTTAGAATGAGATAGTTGTGTAATAATTGAGAAAATTATATAAATTAAAATGGTTTTATGCTCAGATTTCTGAGTAATCGAAGAACTCAAAAAAAATAATGCCTAGTCTCATAAAGTAGTTGGTAAGTTATTGTAATGTAATATTTTTTAATGTGAAATATTTAGGAGACATTTGAATCTTAAATTACTTCTTTCTAAAAGCATCTTTCAGTGAACTGAACAAGTACTATTCTGTATTGCAATTGAAAATTGAGCCCCTATGTCTTTCAATAGAAATATTAACTATTGTGTGTGTTATTTATGTTTGAAAAATTTAGTTGCAAAACACAGATACAAGTGATAATCATTAGTGTATGCTAATGGTAAATATTGTAATTTTAAAGTAATGTACTTGTTGTATATTATCTCCCTAGAAGGGTTGATAATGAAACTATATGTAAGTATTAATTATGACACTTTTTGGTCGTACTGTAACTAGAGCTCAAGTTTGAGATATTGTTCCTCTCCCCCACCCACTCCCTTAACTTTTAGGGACAGAGTTGTAGCAGTTTTTGTGCAAGGTCCTGCTTGGCAGTTCAAAGGCTGGCCATGGCTTTTGCCTGATGGATCACCAGTTGACATATTTGCTAAAAGTAAGATTCTCTGTATGTTTACTGCTTATCCAATATAGAAATGTTACTTAAGAGAACCATATGTGACTTTGCATATATGATAAATATATTAAAGGATTTCATTAACAAATTGCTCTTAAACGCTTGCAAAATATTTCTAAGGCATTTTTGTGCATTAATGTTTTTGCCCAGCCTGTAGCATTAATAATTACTTTTTAACTTAATTAAAAATCAATAATTGTTGCCTATTCTTGCATTTTTATTAAAATGAATAACTAGTTCTTAAATAGGTTGACTTGTTCACCAGAACTGTGCAGTAACTTTAGATGGCTTGTGATGTGTATCAGCTAACTCCATCTTCTGGAATGATTGCAGTATGATTGGCTGTTCCTTTTCATTTAAATCTCTGCTCAAATGTCTGTCTTTGGAGTTTTTCTCTCATCTTTGAAATTGGTCTCACCTCTCAATTGATCTCAAAGTTGTTGTACTTCGTACCGACAACTATTTTATTTTCTTAATTGTTGCTTGATACTATCTAATTTTTATATCTTTACTGTAAGTTTTCCCTGTTTAGAATGTAAATTCCACGGCAGAAAACACCCTTTCTGCTTTATTCATTCGGTGCTCTGAGCACAGAGGACTGTCTGACCCAGGATCCTTTCAGTAAATCTCCTGAATGGATTATTTCCTACAGATATATATTTAATTATATATTGGTATAATTAATTGAATAAAACGGATTAATATACCCTTTTTGCTGGAGTATTTCAGCTACTATTTAATTGAAATACCAATTTTGAATAGTAACATTAGAATTATTTTTAAGAATTATTCTCATAAAACAAGGGTGTTTATTAGAAATGACACTTCCAGCTATTATGAATACAGGTTGCACTACTGTGTGAACCAGACATTTTAACAACCTGTCTGTTTGATTTTTATTAATACATGGTTGAGGTACATAATGATCACATGAAGTATGGGGGGGTTGATACATGTACATAATATGTCTTAATTATTCCTTTAAGTTCCCTTCCACTCCTCTTTCTCTAGTTCTTGGTCCCCTTTCCATATGCAAAAGATCAGTTGCACTACTTTCTATTTGTCTTTTATTTTGCCTTTACTTATATTTTGAGTTTCTTATGGAAGAGAAACCACGCACTATTGAGGCCATGTGTCTAACTTATTTCACTTAACATTGTAGTCTCAGATGCCTCCATTTTCCTACACATGACTCAAGTTTATCCTTCTCTATGACAGTAGTACTCCATTGTGTATAAATATCACATTTCTTTATCCATTCATCTTGATGGACAGCTAGATCACTCCCAAGGTGCAGCTGCTGTGAATTGTGCTGCTGGAATGTGGATGTGCATGTATCACTGTGATAGAATGTCTGTACCTCTTTTTGGAAGATAAAAGGAGGGATAGCTGAGTTGAGTGGGATTTCTTGTTTTAGTTTTTTAGGAATCTTCATACTGATTTCCGTAACGGTTGTACTAATTTACATTCCTACCAACAAATAGAAGGAATCTTTCCCCTTTCCCCCACCTCAGGCAGCATTTGTTATCTGATCTTGGGGATGGGCCTTCTTTCTGGAGTAAGATGGAATGTCGTTGTTCTTTTAATTTGCATTTTCTCTAATGGCCAGTTGAACATTTTTTTTTGTATTTATTGGCCAATTGTATTTTGTTTTTGAGAAGTGCATGTTCATTTCAGCTTCCCATTTTTTGATTGGGTCTATTACTGGGGGGCTTTCTAATTTTCTTGAGTTCTTTACAGTAGTTCTAGATATTAGTTCTCTGTCCAAGGAATAGCAAGCAAAGTTTTCTCCAATTTTGTGGTTTGTCTCTTTACTCTGTTGGTTTGCTTTGCTATACAGAAACTTTAATTTGATAGACTTCCATTTGTTGATTCTTTTTGTTGTTTCTTGTGCAATTGTCCTGTGAATCTCTTATACTGGTGTACATAGTATTGAAGGGGGGAGGAGGTCAGCTATGGAAATTCAGAGATAATCAGTCTGGTGCTGCCGGCTTTTAGAGATGCACTCCCTAAATGATTAACATGCCTATGCGCAGAACTGAATATGATCTGACCCAAACATTTCAGATAATGAAGGAGGCAGATATAGGATGAAGTTCAAGCTTTGTTCTGCTTTTAGTTACCTAATGAGATCTGTAAGCCCCAGTGGCGAGTCACTTTTTTAAAAAAACAGTAAAAGCAGCTTTTAAGTCCTTAAGTGCCTCAGGACAAAATACAAGTTATCTTCTTAATGAACAACCGGTTAAGGGCCTAAGGTTTGTTGTTTGTTCTTTGTCCCTGTGGTGGTCTCTGTGCTGGCATTCTTGGTGTATGAAACCGTCCAGGCCTGAAAAGTTTTAATCCTTGTTGTTCTCCTAATTTATTTTTAAAAACAAATGTTACTTAACTTATAGCTTTTGTTATTTCTGGTTAATGCTCATTGTTGAGTAATGCTTACAGAGTTGTTAAATAATTAAATACTGTATATAGGGAGAATGGGAACTTTAACGAAAGCAAAATGTCAGTGAAAGAAAATGGCCTGTGTATTACATACTTACTTCCTTGTTGGATAATCTTGTAACAGAAATTATAAAATGTCTTCAAGATGGTAATCCTCTCTGAATGATAACATGGTTTAAATTGTTACTTTCCAAAATCAATAACAACTTTGAGAATTTTAGTAGTAATCACTGGTTTTCTTCCATGAATTGTTTTCCCTGTTTAACTTTCCAGCTATATGGGTTCCTCTGCTACCATTTTAAGATGTCCTGTTACCCTCCATCTTAGACCAAAAAATAAAGCCTTTATTGTTGGTTTTTCTCTTTAGCCACTTTTCTTTTTTCTTTTTGAAGAGAATTGTCTCCCTAACTCACTTTTTAAAAAAATATGGACTGCTTCATTAATTTGCATGTCACCCTTGTGCCAGTGGTCATGCTAATGTTCTCTGTATCATTCCGGTTTGAGTATATGTGTTGCCGAAGCAAGCACCCTAACTCACTTTGTACATTTCTCAATTGGCTAATTTCTGGCTCTTTCTCTCACAAACTGTCACAATGAAGTCATCAGTGGCCCAGGTATTGGGTAGTTTTGACCTATCAGAACTTGACTCTTGTTATTTTTGTTATTTTTTCCTTTTAAAAAGATTTCAAATACATCTAATACACCAGCAAGCAGTCCATAAAACTTGGTGGTGCGTACTTATAATCCCAGCACAGAAGAGGCAGAGGCAGGAGGATCACCATAGTAAACGTAAAGCCACCTTGGGCTATCTAGTAAGCTCAAGATTAGTCTAAACTACATTGAGAGGCCCTGTTGAGAGAGAGAGACAGAGACAGAGACAGAGACAGAGACAGAGACAGAGACAGAGACAAAGAGAACAATTTACAGTCTACTGTTTGCTTGTTTAGAAACCCCTGATAAGATGACAATAATAAAAATCATATGCTGTTAAAAACTTGAGGGGGGGAAGGCTAAACATTTATGCAAGTAAATGCACAACAGATCTATATTGATGATAAGCAAATTGTAAATATGATAAACTAGCTAGGATAATTCACCTGGATTGTTAGGCTTAGAGGAAGATTGTAAGTTTATCTGCTGGCCCAAACCTAGTTAGCCTTTAAAAGTGAAAATTATACCATTTCATCTTCCTACTTTAAGCTGGCTTACTGTAACATGTGGAGTAAAATCCATGTTTCTTACATACAAACCATTGCCTGCAAAATTTATTTACATTGTTCACAGGCCTTCCAAGCTTCCTCTCAACAGTGCCTTCGTGGTACCTCTTCATTTTGCATGAAGTCTCCTAACTCTGCAGAGCATGGTTTTCTACTGCTGACTTCTAGGTTACCTCTTCTAGAATCCTTCCCCTAACATTAAAATACCTAAAATAAATACACTTACTATTTTACCTCTTTAGCCTGCTTTATTTTTCTGCAATTACATTGACACTGTATAAAAATTCTATCGCTGTGTCTAATGATTCTTAAAATATAAGCTCCCTATAGTGGTGAGTTTGTGTTGGTCACTGCTCTATCCTTGGTGCCTAGGATAGGTCATGATGTACAGGAAGCATTTGATGAATGTTATATATTTGTCATTGCAAAGTCATCTTCCCTTCTTCATTGTTTCTTTTCTTTTTTTACTAGCTTTCAATAGTTCTCACTTTCTAACCTTCCTCTTACCCTTCATATATCTTCTACGCAATCTCCCTTTAACCTCTAGATTATTAAGTTGTGGCAAACTGCTAATATTTTGTGTGATTGTCCATGCCACGTTACAATTTAATGTGCCCTACAAGCCTGACACTGCTTGTAAGCACCATGGCCTTATCTTTTTACACTTGACTCTGTCATTTTGCACTTTGCAGTTCTATTTATTTATTTCCTAGACTAAACCATATTCTCTTTGAGCATGCTTCTCTTGTTTACTTTTGTTCTAGACTGACTTCTTTCATGTCCTTTAGGTCTGAAGTCATTCCCATTCTCCCTATATACAGTATTTAATTATTTAACAACTCTGTAAGCATTACTCAACAAAAGTCAATCCTTTTCTGAATTTGGGGTCTTTATCAGTAGAGGCAGACCTATGGCACCTGTTTCGATAATTGAAAACTCTAAAAGTTTTGCCATTACTGGTCTACATGTTACTTTACTACCTTTATTATTTGGTGTTGAGGTCTTTTCTGTCTGGGCATAGAGGTGCATGGCGGTATCGCAGCACTCAGGAAGCTGAGGCAGAAGGATTATTGTGAATTTAATTAGTTAATTAATTAATAAGTAGTTTTTTCTTATTATCTCTAAACCACATGTACTTTATAATACCTTTTCATTTTATTCTGTTGTGCCTACCTTGTATAAACTCTCAATGTTGAATTAGTATTTTTGATACTATTCTGCTTCTCCTTAGCGGTAACTTTATCATTTGTAGAAAAGTTATTTACCATATCTGTGTTAGATCCATATTTTTATTTATAGAATACTTTCGTAATTTTAATTATAATTTGAGTAAAATATTATTTTTTCCCCTGTTCTCCACGTAGTTAAAGCCTTCCATCTCAAGTATGATGAAGTTCGTCTAGATCCAAATGTTCAGAAATGGGATGTAACAGTATTAGAACTCAGCTATCACAAACGTCATTTGGATAGACCAGTTTTCTTACGGTTCTGGGAAACATTGGATAGGTAATTCTGATCCTAAAATATATCTACCTGTGTTTATTGAAATAATTTTTTTGTCTTCTTAAATTTTAAGCACTTTCTGGCTGCAAATATTTTTTCCAGTTCTCCTCACCATTGTCTAATGTGATGTTGAACTATAACAGATAATAAGTATCTTTGATATGTTGGATATAGAAATAAATGGAATACAGTTTATAGCCCGTTAAAAAAAACTGAACTCTGAGCCAGAAGATACATACTTAGTCCTGGTTTTGTGATCTGTGTCTATTAAACAATGTGGCCTTTTTTTAACCTCATTTCCCATCTATCCCTATGTTTTACAAGCACTGAAATGTCTCTGACTTGGATTTATTTGGGTTGTATGAAGCTCATGAAAGAAATTGAAGTTTTAAATTTATTTTCATTACTAGTATAAATGGGATTCTTAAGTCCTTTACAACATAACAGCTTCGTAATTGTCAAATTTAAGAAGCACATGATCCTAATTAATACTGAATATATTCTCTTCAAGCTGCTCCTTAAAAATTGGTAACTTATAGGTTTCCTCAAAGTGATACAATTGACAATATGTTAAGGAGAAACATTTTTTAGTAGAAACTCATAGGTTGTAGAATTTAATAAAAGGAATGTTTTTTACTTGCTTTACTTAAGAAGTTCTTCATTGTCAAAGGCTATAGTATGAAATTTCCAGGTTTTTAGAAAATAAAACATCTTACTTCACTGTCAAGTTTGAAGAAATGTCAACTTATTTTTACATGTAATGTTCTAAAAATGTTTAAATTCTATAATCATTATAACCTATTATAATACTGCTTTTCAGGTACATGGTAAAGCATAAATCCCACTTGAGATTCTGAATGATCTGGTTCCTTCATTTCTGAAAGTCAGAATTAAGAAGCATGGGTTTACGTTTATCTGAAGACTGCGACTCAGCGTTACGAATTTTATCAAGGACTTAACAAATGAAGAAGGTTTAGATCAGCCTTCTATAAGACCTTATTTGATGCTTTTTGCTTCAAAGGGATGATGCCTGTAATCCATATAAGCAAACTTTTTGGCTTACAACTATTTTTTTAATATTAGCCTTCTAGTTGTAACAGAAATTGTATATTTTGATAGAAGTTTTTCTCTATTGGTTAAATTAGCATTCCTTAAATTTTGTTTCTTTAGAAGTTATAAATGTGTGTATATTTAGAGGTTATGAGGCTTCCTAAGCCATCTTTGCTTTTGATTTTTCATTGCTCTATATCTAATTCCTTTTACTGAAAATTCTGTGTTATGAGTGATATTAAATTTTAGACGCTTAAACTTCAAAAACCATGCAAAGGGATGTGAGTATTTTGAATGAATCAAATTTTCAATGTGTATGTATTCTATGTCTAGACTTTTATTTAAAAAAAAAATAATGAAAAACCGAGAACAATTAACTCAGCTTTGGTTGAACTTTTCAAGACTTCTTTACTTATAAGTGAATACGTTTAATGAATGTACATTCTTCTCATTGAATTTGATGATTTTAAATCTTAGAATGATCTATTTCTATGGAGGTATCTTTCCACTTGAAAAATCTCAAAACACAGATTAAAAACATAATAGGCTATAGTAATTTTTATTGTGGGAGCTGGAATATGACTTGGAAAAATATATTAGGCCTATTACACTATAACTTTAACTTCCTTATCTTTTCTCATAAGTCCTCTTTTGACTGTTGTCTGTGTGGTATAGGATTTCAAATCTTCTGTTTTTAGGCATGTCAGTTTTTATCTTCCATTATCCCTAAATATTGGTAAACTCCCAGGCACCAAAGAACACATTTGCTTAAGTTAAGAAACAAGAGAAGAACATTGGTATTTTTATCTGTGTGTTCAATATATAAAACCTATATTTTAACTTAGTAAGATATTTTACTATTTCTCTACTTTAGAGTGTTGCAGCCAAGGTGAAATGAAGAACCATTTTCTTTGAGTTTGACTCCACCTTCTATTTCTTAAAAGCTACTGGGAGCAGTTACTCCCAAAATTGTTTTTGTCATTAAAATTGTTGATAACCATTTTGTGTTATGTCACCCCACCCCAACCCCCCATGATTCTTTTAGGTTAACATAGTGCTCCCCCGCCAAGCTGATATCACTAGCCTCTTTTGGGAATTTAATGCTATCATAAAAATGAGAAGTAATTATTTATTTTTTAAGAAACCACAAAAGTTCATACCAATAATACATAGAAAAGCTGTTTACTCAGATGGCATTCAAGGGTTTTGCAAAAAAAAAAAAAAAAAAAGCATTTTAAATTTTTAGATTTTAGTATATTTATAAGACTTGAATAGATTTTGGCCTCATTTTCCCCATTTCTTTGTAACCCTTCTACATGAAACTAAAAGAAAACTCAATTTGTTTATATTAGAATTTTTCAGCATATGAATTTTTTCTCAAAATAATGTGTTATGTAAACTTTATGAAATAGTCAAGGACTAGAATCTGTAATATTTTAATGTAAGATGTTAAGACTACTATAAGTGGACATTTTATTTTGAACAAGGTTTATTTTTCTATTTTGGATTTGCCTTATTCGACAGCTTCTGGAAATTCTGTGTGGAACATCCAGAAAAGTACACCATGTCTTTTAAAAATTGAACCCTTAGTATGTACTTGAATTTTTTATTTTAAATTTTGAACAGCTTGATCCCTTAATTAGGGTATATGTAATTAATTTTATGGTTAACTAAAAAAATACTCCACAAACCAAAAAACAAAACAAAACTCTCAGCCAATCACTTTTTATTCTTCTATGACAGAGTCCTATAACAGCA